TCCAATATTTTGAGTCTCCATGCATTATTGAAAGTTGGATGTTTGATTAAAAAAATAAAAATTATAGAATTCAAATAAACAAATAGGTAAAATTTTATATCAATATTTAATTATAAATTATTAGTATAATTATAAAGTGAGTTGTATATATAATAATTATATATAAAATGTTTTCTCATCCAAAAGGAAATTTATATTTTTTTTAAGAAAAAAAAACTTACATCATAAGATTATCTCTTGTATTTCATTTTATAATAAGAGATGTAGTTTCTTTTAAACAACTTTTATTATAAGATTACAAGTGACATTATGTATAAGATAAAGTTACTTTATTTTAAAATATTTGTATATTATCTAAAAATAGATAATCTAAGGTGACAAATAGATACACGTGGAAATTATAAATGATTGATATAACATGATTGTAATCAATGAAAATAATTCAACGTTTATGATTAATAATTGGATGTAATTTAAGTTAGAGTTAATTGATATAAAAATTCAAAGTAGTACATTGATAATTTATTCTAATGTATTGTTTCTTAGTTATTCATATAAATGTTTTAAAAACAATATTTAGAAGAAGTTACATCTACAACACACTTCTCAAAAAAATAGGTGATTTTTGTATATATTTTACAAATAAAAACACACAGTCTCGTAGAAAATAAAGTAATATCCAATTTTGTAGTTATATATCGTGAGTCCACTATGGTAAAAAAGTTAGACATTTTGAAAATACACTAATCTGAAAGTCTATTTTAAAAAAAAAAAACATAACCATTTGTTTTCTTAAGTCATATCCTTATTTATAAATTTTGAGATAGACTTATGATTAGTACAACCGTAATCACAACCTAATATCTGATAAATATGTTTAACCTATAAATTTAATTGTATATTATACTTAAAATCTTTTAGAGTTTATGATCGATCAGTCTTCTCACCTACCTGATCGATAGTTCGATTTAACATGTTTAATTCTTTATTCACATGTTCGGTGCCTAGTCATGTGAGTATATAGTACAAATTTTAATTTACTTAACAAAAGTATTTATATATATATATANTACACATATACTATTTAGTGGAGAGAGTGGGTAATGAAGGCATTTGGTTTTGTATAGCTGAGGATTACAGATGAGGCTTGGGGTCTCTCAGCAAGAAGCAACAGTCCTCGAGAGGACAGACCCTGTGGTTCTCAGTCCCTATGTGATTGCATATATTCATTTTTCTGTGATGATATTGCAATCCCTGAGTTTTTCTTCAATTTAATTTTTATCATCTGGTTGTCTGACCACCAAGATGCCCTAAGGAGTCTCATGTAGAAGCACTGGAAAAAAGGATGGGTGAGATATGCAGCAAGCAGGGACAGGTTCACTCCACAACATGAAAAATATAATCCATACAGAATACTTGCCAGGGAATATCTCTAAGTGAATCCAATGGATGCATCCTATTTGAAGACAAAAGAATAAAAGTTTAATATAGCCACCATTTTTGACTGAATATGCTCCTATGTTATAAGCATATTCAAATGACAAGAACCTGAAAATATACCAATGAAGATATAGAGAATATTGGTATGAAACGCATCTAACAAGTAAACTGATTGATATAAACCAGAGAAGCCAGAAATCAAAACTCATAAACAGACAATTTTACTGATACAATAAACTTCATTCCATATATAACCACAAACATCAAAAGAGTGGTCAGCAATTTATTAACCAAGAGATCTAATCATACAAATCAAACGAAATTTCCATGTCATGTAAATTACTATGTCAATTATCCCAAACATGCTTCAATTGATCAATATTTCCCATAGTTTCTTATCTATAAACTGAATAGGCATCCACAAAATATTTTTCCATTTAATAGTTGAAATGCCCAAGTTACAATCTTTCCCTTTAATTCATTGTCACAAAATTAAGCCAAAAATATTAATTGCTTGCTGGTAACAAGCAATTTTTCTTTCCGAAAAAAAAAATATTGAGAGAAAACAGTGAAACAACCACCAGGTGAGATAAGGTCTCCCTCTAAACTGAAAAATAAAAGTCAAAAGCACCAAGTGGCTAAGACATGCAGCAAAGCTGCCAACAACAAGAACAATAAATAACCCCTATGCACCAACATATTCACTTTCTACTTAGAGCCTCTATATATGTTCTCTAATGAACAAATCACCACAAACAAATTTCGTTCATCATTTCAATAGGTACTATTACAGCTATAGCCTGAAAACGCGTATTCCTAATCTTACATTTTATGGTATGTTTACTTATATATCTCATTGCTCTGATCATTAACTTTTGGCACATGTTGAAAAGTGGTGTGGTGCATTTTCGTATAGCCGCCGAAAGGGCCCACGATTACAAAATAGTGGTTGTACCAGTGCTATAGTGAGACTCTGCAAAAATCCACTTTTGCCTTAAAAACGATGTCGTTTTTATAGGCAAAGCTGAAATTTCTTACCCTTTCTAGAATTTAAAAAGTCCCTAATTGGATGTAGTTTTCTATATCTTTTTCTTCAAACCCTAAACCTGTTGAATTGTTTGTTTCCTTTGCATTTATTGTTATTTACTTGGATGTTCGCCATAAAAGCTATGACCTCTTAAGGTTAACTGCAAACTTTTCAGTGTTATCAATGTTAATAAATATTAGAGAAAAGTAATTCATATCGTTTGGATTGGTTAGGTTCCTACCAAATTTGTTAAGAACCCATACCAAAACAACCTGACGTTTGCATTTGTTGAAATCAAGTACCCAGGTCAAATAATAAAAAATAAGAATCCTCATGGAAGGAGGGCAGGATGTGACATAAGAGAGGAGCAAAAGGATTCTGGAGTTGGTATCCATGGCATTCAACAGAGAGAGGTTAGATTTGGTTTTACCCTTTTAATTGTTTAGGACTTTGAGTTAAAAAAAGCAGGAATTGGATAGCGACTTTAAGTTGGTGGTCAGCAGATGTTCCGACAGTAGAGAAGGGAATTAACAACAGATTTATAATAGTATATCATGTTCGATCAGTTATTTCAGAATTTAAATTCATCAACCCAAGAAGCAAACCAAACCACTTTCTTGCTATTAGTTTGGTTTGGGTTGATTGGGTTCATGGGTTGATTCAGACCCGTGGTCACCCCTTACAATGACACCAAGCATTATAAAACAATAGACAGACAAATTATCAAAATGCAATTCCTAATTCATTTAACAGATTGCACAAAATGTTGACATTTAACATTTATACTGCAATAGAAAACTTAGATCCCGAGTTAATACAGTATCAGACTATTAGAGTGTATGGATACATTCAAAATTCTGGTGGCTCCTCTGGAAATGGGTAAAAAGCACGATTTTTCCGCAGCAACTAAGTTTTGTATTGCTTTCCCCATGAAATTGAAATTGACTTCTCTCGCCTCACCACCAAATAAACTACAATATGAGGCTCAAGTTCTTTATTCTGATTAGCACTCGGTGTCAACAATTGTATGAGTCACTGAAACTCAATTTCACAGAAGTGTTATATAAGATCCCCATTGCTACCCCCTCAACAATTTGAGTAAACAAATAACTAATCAAGTGCATAAAACTCCAGAATGAATACTTCAATTTCAAGTAACCTCACATAATTAAGAAACAAAAAAGACACAGCAAGAGTATTACACAATCCATCATGCAAAATCAGATATCAGACCCAGCATTCACATGCAAACAGTCTATTAGAATCTTTAACCTACCATTTCTCTCCTTGATGTTTCAAGACAAGTATAATCTGACTCAGCAATAGACGGTGTCACCACACAGTGAGTAATGCAAATCACCACGTCCAATACACCGCACCATCAAACCCGGTAAACTCGATCAACTGCATCACAAAAATCAAAAGAAGATCAACTCCATCGTATAAAAAATCTTGGATGTCGATCCAACTAACATATGTAAAATAAAATAAAAATAGCAAAAATAAAAAACCTAGAATGAGAAAATGGAATCGATTGAATTCGCGATCGCAACTGCTTACAGAAGATAAAAGGTTTGGAAAATGGAAACATGACTATCTCCTTAGACTTATTTTCCGGTGGCAGAGACGTTCCTCCTTTGATAGCTACTCTTCGTTTCACTTCAAAACAAAGTGTGTGGGATTTACGAATAATGAGGTTTAGAGTGTGTGAGAGAGATGGTGGAACAGAGATATAATACGGGAATATGTAGGGTTGCCGAATTTGTCATGTTATATCCACCCTACACGTGTATAGTCTGTGATGTTTCCATCCTCAGAGAATCTGAACTGTCCTAAGCTTCTCGAAGGCATAAATAATGTACAGAAGATGCAGAGAAAACTGATCAGGTAGTATCTGGTTATGCCAACTGGAGCTTGTTCATTGGCTGAATATTTGTGTTAAATTATCGTGGTAGTGACGTGGCATTGTATGATTGGCACGTCCTGAAGGAACACATGCACCCCTGAAGCTTCTTAGTAAAGTAACTAAGGTTGAAGTGTGAGAGTACTGTTCAATACTGGTTTTCATAAAAGGTCCAATATTTTGAGTCTCCATGCATTATTGAAAGTTGGATGTTTGATTAAAAAAATAAAAATTATAGAATTCAAATAAACAAATAGGTAAAATTTTATATCAATATTTAATTATAAATTATTAGTATAATTGTAAAGTGAGTTGTATATGTAATAATTATATATAAAATGTTTTCTCATCCAAAATGAAATTTATATTTTTTTTAAGAAAAAAAAACTTACATCATAAGATTATCTCTTGTATTTCATTTTATGATAAGAGATGTAGTTTCTTTTAAACTACTTTTATTATAAGATTACAAGTGACATTATGCATAAGATAAAGTTACTTTATTTTAAAATATTTGTATATTATCTAAAAATAGATAATCTAAGGTGACAAATAGATACACGTGGAAATTATAAATGATTGATATAACATGTTTGTAATCAATGAAAATAATTCAACGTTTATGATTAATAATTGGATGAAATTTAAGTTAGAGTTAATTGATATAAAAATTCAAAGTAGTACATTGATAATTTATTCTAATGTATTGTCTCTTAGTTATTCATATAAATGTTTTAAAAATAATATTTAGAAGAAGTTACATCTACAACACACTTCTCAAAAAAGTAGGTGATTTTTTTTATATATTTTACAAATAAAAACACACAGTCTCGTAGAAAAGAAAGTAATATCCAATTTTGTAGTTATAATTTTTACAAGAAAATGTCGTGAGTCCACTACTATGGTAAAAAAGTTAGACATTTGAAAATATACTAATATGAAAGTCTCTTTTAAAAAAAATTATAGCCATTTATTTTCTTAAGTTAGATCTTATTTATAAATTTTGAGATAAACTTGTGATTAGTACAATCGTAATCACAACCTAATATCTGATAAATATGTTTAATCTATAATTTAATTATAAATTATACTTAAGATCTTTTAGAGTTTATGATCGATCAGTCTTCTCACTTACCTGATCGATAGTTCGATTTAACATGTTTAATTCTTTATCCACGTGTTCGATGCGTAGTCATGTGAATATATAGTACAAATTTTAATTTACTTAACAAAAGTATTTATTTATATATATTTTTTTAAATGAAATATTATATTTGAGAATGGACTAATAGTGTGATAAGTTTTGAAATGAGTTGTTTACAGTAAATGGGTGCAATTAAGGAAGTATCGATGATTAATTAGGATCTTAAATGAGAAGGTGGGTGCTTTACAGAACAATGCAATCCAATTCCTTCAATTATCCAATAAGATGGACTTGGCCCAAACACGGTTTCTACCATAAACAAAAACCCCACAAATCATAATTTGTTAGAAAACTATTGAGTTGACAATGAAAGATTAGAAAGAAAAAGCCTAGAAATTTGACAGAAAAAGAGGTATAATAGTTGAAGAGGGAAAAGTGAATGAATATAGTTGAGAAGTTGGAAGATTAGTGAAAGAAAATCGATCCAAATCCAAAGAACCTAATGGATTAGGATGCATGAGGCCCATTGACTTATTGGTCCAGATCATAGGTCGGTCAATTTAATTTAACACTGTTAATTACAAATGGGAGACACGCGTAATGCCAACACTTTTTCCTACACGTTACCCTCTTACCAACAATTTCAAGTTGCAACTACTTTTCTTTTATGTCTATAGTTTTATCATATGAATGCTTTGTTTCTTCTCATATACATTCACTATGATAATACAAAAACATTAACCTATAACGTTGATAAAATTATATATTGAAGTTTTATATAATATAATATATTTTTACATTGTTAGTCAAATATTTATTTCTTGCCCTTCATCATAGTTTAGAGTAATTACTTTATATTTTCTATTTTTTATGTTTTTATAATTATTTTGTTCACGCAAACTTTCTTTTTTATAATACTTTTCATATTATAAATATAAAGTTTATTATTTACTTATTTATTACAATTACTTTTTTTATTATTTTTATGGTACGTCTTGGATTGACTAGAGACATTGTTAATTTATAATTTACAATATTTGAATTGATGTAAATTTCATCTTACTTATTATAAGACATTATTAATATATAGTCTCACATTCGAGACATATATGTATTGAAATAAGAAAGTGTTGAAAGTTTTATACTAAATAAACATAATATTAATCTATAATATATAAGTGTATGCAAATCTCACTTTACAAACTAATTTTATACTATCATATATTTATTACAATTACTTTCAACATTATCACTATTACCGTTGTTATTTTTACCATTATTTTTACTATAATAACTTTTGTTGTTGTTACTACTATCCAATTACATCACCTTCATTGTAGAAACAAGCAACATATTATATACTTTCATCATTGTTACTATTGTTATCACGTTTTCTGTTATGTTATCATCACATAAACTTTGAATTTACCCTCACCACCATTATTATTATTCATATTTATATAATCTTATATCTAATTTTATTGTTATGGTTACTCTTGTAACAATTTTCATTATCATTATCATAACTGATTGTATATAATATTGTGTAATATTCTAACAAACATCAAATATATGTGATTAATATTTATTTTATTTTTATCATAATTATCTTTTTATCATATATATCGTATCATAAGTATTAAATAAACTCTTACAAAGATAAACTTTATTAACATTATTCATGCTTTATTACAATAAGCTCTAATTGATGTGAAAAGAAAAAGCATGTCAATGGCTTCTTTTAAAATAAAGAAAAACATCGGGCGTTATATGAAAAAAAGATTATTACATTCATTGTATCTTTATGCTTACATTTATTAATTAATATACTATTATTAACTTTTTATACTAACAAATTTGTTCGAGTAAATTATAAATAAATAATGTAGTCAAAGTATGATGTTGATATTTTCATAAGTTAATTATACATATTACTTGTATTTTGTCAAACAAAAGAAAAAATAAATAAACTTGTACTTGTAACTACCTACTTTAGGAACATTCACATGTTTAATTATTATTGATATGGCAACTAAATTAAAATAACTCAATAGTCAAAGAAAGTATTAAGTTGGAACTTTATTCAATACTCAGAAATTACATGTAAAATTCATTAATTCTCAACAAGCTAACAAACTTTACAATAAAACTTTATTTTTTTCACTACTTCTCCAATGATGTTTCACTTTTTTATGAGTATTAGATATAAAAGAATAGATATTGTATTAGTAATATTAGTGTTTATTAATAATTTAAATTTCCGTTAAAGTTAAATTCTCTTGAAGTATATATTCTGCAATTGCGAGAGTAAATCTCACAACATTAAACAAAGCATATGAAAGGAAAATTGATATAAATTATTAAAAATAAATATCAAAGAATTCAATAATGTTTAATAGTTAATTCATTTCTCCTGATCGAAAATTTCCAATGCAGACATCTCCACCAAGTACAAGAAACTAGAAGAATTGATAAAAAACTGAATAAAAATTAGGATAATATATAAATTTAAACTCCGAACACAGCTATTGACACTTTCAACTTTGAAAATTCACTTAAAATAAATTATTAACAGAAGAAAATAATGGTTTTATTTNATAAGATAAAGTTACTTTATTTTAAAATATTTGTATATTATCTAAAAATAGATAATCTAAGGTGACAAATAGATACACGTGGAAATTATAAATGATTGATATAACATGTTTGTAATCAATGAAAATAATTCAACGTTTATGATTAATAATTGGATGAAATTTAAGTTAGAGTTAATTGATATAAAAATTCAAAGTAGTACATTGATAATTTATTCTAATGTATTGTCTCTTAGTTATTCATATAAATGTTTTAAAAATAATATTTAGAAGAAGTTACATCTACAACACACTTCTCAAAAAAGTAGGTGATTTTTTTTATATATTTTACAAATAAAAACACACAGTCTCGTAGAAAAGAAAGTAATATCCAATTTTGTAGTTATAATTTTTACAAGAAAATGTCGTGAGTCCACTACTATGGTAAAAAAGTTAGACATTTGAAAATATACTAATATGAAAGTCTCTTTTAAAAAAAATTATAGCCATTTATTTTCTTAAGTTAGATCTTATTTATAAATTTTGAGATAAACTTGTGATTAGTACAATCGTAATCACAACCTAATATCTGATAAATATGTTTAATCTATAATTTAATTATAAATTATACTTAAGATCTTTTAGAGTTTATGATCGATCAGTCTTCTCACTTACCTGATCGATAGTTCGATTTAACATGTTTAATTCTTTATCCACGTGTTCGATGCGTAGTCATGTGAATATATAGTACAAATTTTAATTTACTTAACAAAAGTATTTATTTATATATATTTTTTTAAATGAAATATTATATTTGAGAATGGACTAATAGTGTGATAAGTTTTGAAATGAGTTGTTTACAGTAAATGGGTGCAATTAAGGAAGTATCGATGATTAATTAGGATCTTAAATGAGAAGGTGGGTGCTTTACAGAACAATGCAATCCAATTCCTTCAATTATCCAATAAGATGGACTTGGCCCAAACACGGTTTCTACCATAAACAAAAACCCCACAAATCATAATTTGTTAGAAAACTATTGAGTTGACAATGAAAGATTAGAAAGAAAAAGCCTAGAAATTTGACAGAAAAAGAGGTATAATAGTTGAAGAGGGAAAAGTGAATGAATATAGTTGAGAAGTTGGAAGATTAGTGAAAGAAAATCGATCCAAATCCAAAG